TGGACAAGACACAATGACATGGGGAACACGTGTTTGTGTCGGTTGCCTACCCAGGGAAGCGGAGTTCGTGTGCGTAGTGGGCGTATGAGGAGTTTGGCGGGCAGCGATCCTTTTCCGCCGGCCGAATGATGACTCGTCTTGGAGGGGGGTACTCCTTCTTCTTGGGCTGCGGTGGTGGTGCCGCCGGCTGCTCCTCTCTCCGCGGCTCCCTCATGCTCTCCCTTTGTTTGGTCCGTGGCATCGCAGTGGCGGGCCGCACGCGCGTTTGGGGCTTCACCTGTGCTGATGGCGGTGGGGATGGTGCTGGTGCTGGTGACCGTGATCGCGGTCGTTTCGCTGCTTTCTTGGGCTCGGCGGATTTTGGCGCAGCTTTGATCATCGTCTTGGGCCTCTTCTTCTTCAGCTCTGCACGTGTCTCCGTCACATTCGCTTTTGGCTCGGGTGCTGGCGCGGATGCAGACGGTGGCTCTCCCCCTTCCATGGGCGGCGGGGCGGCGGCTTTGCCAGCGTGTTTCAGCCAGGGGTTCTCCTTCTTGCCGCCCTTCCGCTTGCCGCGGCACGGAGGCGAGGCGGAGCGGGCTCTCTGCTGCTCCTTCCCGGGTGATGGTCCCCTCTTGCCGCCTTTTGGCTGTTTCTCCTCCTTCCTCGCTACAGGAGGCGCCGATGCCGGCCGTGGTGGCGCCAGAGGAGGTAATGTCGACCTCTTCTTGCTGATGGGCGGCAAAGCGGATGGCTTCGGGCCACTCACGGCAGGCAATGGCGAGGGCATCGCCGGCTTGGTAGTCTCTTCTGGTGTTTGTTGTGCTGATTGCTTCTTCCTTTGGTCAGCTGCCCTCTTCTGCGGCTTGACAGCAGGGGGAGGGGGAGGGGGAGGGAGCTCTGTTGGGGGAGGGGGTGGCGGTGGATGAGGTCGCTTGCCAGGCTTGGATATCACGATTGGCATCTTGGCTGCCTTGCGCTGGAGCTCCTTGGGGCGGAACTGTGTCTTGAATGGGAAACGGTCGATGGCGATGGGGCAGTGTGTGCGCTGCAGCGACTGCAGGTCACGCAGACGGGAGTGGCGTTCACGGTAGACTTTCTGCAGACAGAGGGCAAGACAGAGAATCCTCCCAGCAGCAGTGCTCTGTCTGTCTGTCTGTGTGTCTAATGACTGACATTGATCATCTTGTTGAGGTCATACACTCGTCTGAGCAGCGCCACCGAGCCGGCATGGTCAAAGGTCTCATCCCTCCTGCATCAACAACACACACATCCACTCCACCCCCCATTCCGCCTTCTCCACTCATCCATCCATCCGTCTCACCTGCTAACAACAGCGTGGGATTTGTCCCTCAGCTCTTCAAGCGTGCGGTCCCGCTCTCCCTCCATCTGTGCCGTCTCATCGCCAGCTGGAGCTGGTGGTGCCGTGGCGGCCGTGTCAGGAGCAGAAGCAGGAGCAGGTCGTGGTGGTGATGTGGGTGTCCGTTTCTTGCCAGCAATGAGGCTGTCGAAGTGTTGGTTGATCTGCTCTATGTTGAAGTGTGTCTTCAGCCGCTGGCGGGACTGCGCGAGGTATCCCATGTAGAAGAGGGCCTGGCAACGGAGCACGATGCCCCACCTGTACTTGTTGCGGTACTGGGGGTACTTCGTGCTGTCGAAGTTTTCGTTCGTGTCCCTGCAAATGTGTCGCGAGCGTGGTGGGTGAGTAGGAGGATAGACACACCGAATTTGTGTTTCGTATTTTGTCTCACCTGACAAACTCTTCGATGTTGCGCACGTCGAGTTTTCCTTCCAGCCACTCGTAGCGGAGACCCCTTCACACACACCGTGAGACAGGATGCCCGTCAGCCCCTCACATAAACACATAGACACACACATACATACCTCATGAGCCGGATATTCTTGAGCGGCTGCCGCCCCGCCGCCTTCGGCACAAAGCAGCACTCCCTCCTGTCTTCCTCCTTGCCAAACAGCTCATTTCTCAGTCCCCCCGTGTCCGCCCTCTCCCACACCTCCAAATGACTCCCACCAAACAGCGCCCTCCCGAGGCCCTCCCGCCTTGTCTCGCCGTCATCCAGACCGTTCGGGGGCACATCCAGCTGCAGCGTACCTCGTGGATCGACTTTGATGGTCGGGCGGATGGCGGCCGGGTCTCTGTGTGTGGTGTACGGGGGGAGGATGGAGGGGTTGTCTCGCAGCCGCTGGAGGGCCTTGATATTGGCGTTGTGCGTGTAAGGGGTCCGGCCGGCCGGCAGCATGAACGCCGGGATGGCATGGCGCCAGATGAGCCGGCGACCTGATCGAGAACCAAGAATGATACTGTGCCCGTCATTCCTGCATGTGTGTGGCATAATTTGCTGACCGCCTGATTGGACTCGTCTTTTCATGAGGTCGAAGAAGAAGTGGACAAATGAGCGGGGCGCCTTGATGCGCTGTGGTGGCCCTGAACGGCGGCCGGGAGGGCCAGAGAAATCGGGATAGAACCTGATTAATGAAGAGACAGAAATGCGGAGACAGCAGTGCGGATCGGTAAGACGACTGTTCTTGCTGTGCACCTCGCATAGACGATCTTAGCGTCATGTTTCTCGCATAAGTCGGCGAAGCACTGATCCAGATACACCCTGCCGACAAACAAACAGGCGACATGCAACCATTCACTCTCAATCTCTCTGCCTGTCTGTTGAAATGTGTGTGCGTGTCTTTTCTGTCTGTGCCTGGGTGCGGTTCTCTTCTTGTCCGGTTCCATGATGGACGCCTTGGTGGCCATGTCATAGCGCTGCACGTACCGCAGGATGGTCCTGTCCAAAGCGCGGCGGGCCTTGACCGCCTCCTCATACGCCTGACAACCAACCAGCGAGGGGAAGACGCACACACACACACTGTCTGCAAATCGACGTGTGCAAGTGTGTGTGCGTCAATAACCTCGAATGTGCGATGTGTTCTTGCTCTGTCCTTCTGTTTCCACCGCTCAATCAGCTGGCTGGGCGGACGAACGAAGACGTAGCGATAATGTACCGCCGTGATGTGCAGCGGCCAGTGCTGACTGACTCACCTTCGTTCGTCGGCGGGCATTGGGTCTTTGGTCCGCTTTCCACGAGTCATCCTGTCGCGACGACGCTCCTCCTGACACACACAGTCACATGTTGGCAGGCATTTCTGCATCCTTTCGTCTCCGTGTGTGACCTCAAACAAATTGTGGCAGTCATAGTCGCGTGGCTCGATTCCTCTGGGTGCAGCGACAGACACATGGGAGCGGCGACGAAGATTCACAATCAAATTTGCAGTGTCGCTGTGAGCAAGGAGGAGGAGCGCACCTGAATGGCGGCCTGGCCAGTGTGAGGTCCGTGTGGATCATCTTCTGGACGACGGCATCGAAGGGGCACTGAGACGCCAGACGACGCAAGTAGTACTCGGGTCGCGGACGGATGTGCGGCCTGTTGGTCAATCACACATGGGGCAAACACACGAGCTTCATAAGCAACCACAAACACACGTGCTTACTTGGCGAGTTCGTCGAGTGTGGGCTTGGGCGGGACTTTGGGAAGCACCTGAAGGGCCAGCCGCTCTTCGGCTGTACGGGCCTTGGCCACCTCATATCTATACAGCCACACAACGCACATATACACATAGACGGCCATCGATACCCAGAGACACGATGCGATGCGCATTCACTGTTTCATGTCTTTCTGCTGCTCGTTCAGCCGCTCTTGCGCCTCACACCACCCCAGACACAAAGACACCAGCTGTGACAAAAGAGACACAGAGAAAGGTTTCTGTCCGATGCCGCCCTCGTGCATCGTCACCTGTTTGTGTGTGTAGCCGTTGACAGCGAATTTGATCTTGAGCGGTGGCGGGATGGCCCCGGCGAACTGAGCCAGCAGCTGAGGGTCGCGGCAACTGTAGCCCATCCTCTCTTGGAAATAATGACAGACAGTCGACCCAAAATACTCGCCCTGCCACATACCACGTACAGACACACACACCAAGCGCCATTACAGCTGTTGTCCGTGTCTCGCGTCAACTCGCCTTTTTCCATTGCTTCAGGATGTCCTCCACTTTCTTGGGCGCGGCCGTCAGCTGGAGCTTCTCCTTGACCCGGCCACTCGACCTCTCCCAGAAGCCCACCAACACATCCACTGACAGCTCCAACCCGCCCCGCCCCTTGCCCCCAAACCCCTCTGGAAAAGGGGGCAAGGGCGGTGGGCGGATGCACGGGTCCATCACCGACTGAGTCAGGAGAGCAAGGTCAGGCGTGGTCGTGAAGCCGGGGTCGCCGCGGCACAGCCAAAAAAGCTCCACAATGCGGCCAATAAAGTCGGTGGGCGATATGAGGAGCTCGCCTTCTTTGTGAGTGAGCGACATGGACGGTGGGGGAGGGTCACCGAGGAGCCGGAGCAGCGCTCTCGACTCGTCTGTTGGAGCCGTGTCCTCTTGTGCAGGCCTCTCCGCGACCTTTGGTGGAGAGGGAGGGGCCGACAGCGCTGTCAGGTCCAGCTTGGCCGCCATCTCTCGCCTCATTTGGAAGAACCTTCCCATCGAACTCTCCAACAGAGGCGTCACATCCCCTCCCCCTCCGGCCCCTCCCTGCTCCCGTAACACCTCCCGCCACGCCAGGTCGATATCAGCCGACTCCCACCTCTCCTTGTGCAGAGCCGTGTTGACACTCATGACAGCCGCCATCACGTCCACAGGCGACGGCAGCACACGCCCCTCCAGAGACCGGGAGATGACTTCACACAGCTGTGCAATGCGGTCGGCGCGATGAGGTGCCTTGGTCTGTCTGCCGAGGAGGGTGACGCATCTGGACAGGTCGAGGGAGGAGACGCTTGCAGGTGCGTCTGTGATCATGGCCTGGGGAGGCGGTTGAGGAGCCGATGTGGCAGTGGCGGCCGCAAAGGACGGAGGAGGGCGGAACTGCAGGCAGGAGAGCCAGAAGGCCACGGCGGCCTCCTCATCCGGGGTGTCATAGCCTGAAACAATCAACCACCATATGCAGACGCCGTACACATGGGCAAGACCGTGGCGGTCTCTCTTTCGCTGACCCTTCTTGTCTTTGAATTCTGCTAGGATCCACAGAATGACCTGATGCATGCAATGCACGAGCAGAGAATAAGAATGTGCAGCCGGCGTGAAGCATGTCAAGGCATTGCGGGCAGATCTTGACCTCGAGAGGCAGCAGGCCTTCACGCTCGAGTGCGGCACCAACCTCATCCATAGACGTGTGCATGGCCACTGGGGCAGATCTGGCTGCGCGAGATGGAGCCATGGTGATGCCGGAAATTAGGTTTGCTGGAGTGTGGTGTTCGCCTGAGACTGGGGGGTGTTTCGTGGGGGCCGGGGGCGAGAGAGACGAGACGCGTGCGTTTTCTCTGTGCTCCTCTTGTCGTCTGTTTCATCTATTTCATGCGATTGATGATACGCCACGTATCATATGTCTGCTAGTCTCATGCAGCCCTCCAGGAGACCCCTCCTCCCCCCTTTGTAAGTTCCCCTCTCTCTCTCTCTACCGTCCTCCTTGTCCACCCATCCTCCACGTGCATCCGTCCAATCTATCTACAAGCCCTCCGCTGCCTCCTCCTCCATAGGGACGCCAATCTCAATACCCACCGACTCCTCCTCTCTCTCCGCCCCCGAATCTGCCGCCTCATCGATGGGCTCACAGCCGTGCTGGCTGTCGCCGGCGTCCGAAGAGTTCTCGGACTCGTTGTCAGCGTCGTATGTGTGGTTGACCTCGGCCAGGTACTTCTGCCCCTCCTTGTGCAGCGTCGTCAGCCGCTGGGCCTCGGCTGCGATGCTGTCAAGGAGGGCCTTGGCCTCCTCGGGAGCCGACACGGACTGCAACGCCTCGAGAGTGAACCTGGCCACACACACATGCACAGATACGTGGATGGATACCACAGGTGCGTCTGTGTGGCACTTGGGTTTGGCGGCCTTGACAAGCTGCTGCTTTTCGTCAGTGAGCCTGCACCAACACACAACACGGCAGGACAACCGGTGACACACATCATGACATGATGTGTGTCAGTCTGGCCGGCTGGGGCTTCACCCACCCCACCGACCACCGACCCTTACTACTTACTTTTTGCACATGATGTCTTTGTCCTTGACCTGTCGCTCCAGGCCCCGCCTCGCTAGCTCCGTCCCTCGCAGACGCGACCGCATCATCTCCAAATCCATCACCAACATGCCCACATCATGACCATGGCCACCCACCCCCGGCACCCCCACGCCACAGCCCCCACTGACAATGACAGACAGAGCAAAGCAACAGCAGACAGAACGACAGAACGATCAAAGCACATGTCTTGCATCTCTCTCTCTCTCTCTCGATGCCGCTGTGTGTTTCCTTCCCTTCTCACCTGTACGTCGTCCCTCTGGCCGGTTTGAACTGTGGGCCGCGTCGAGCCGACACGGGCGGCATATGCAGTGGTGTGGGCAGCAGGGCGTTGTGAGGTGGAGGCGGAGGGGGTGGAGGGGGAGGGGGCTGGTACGTGTACGTGTCGATCGTGGGCATCTGGTAGGGGGGGACGGGAGGGGGGAGGGGGAACATGGACCTCGGGGGCGGGGGGTAAAACATGGGCGTCGTCTCTGAAAAGAATTGGGAATTGGGAGAGAGAGAAGGGTGGAAGGCAAGCGTGTAGGTGCTTTTTGTGTGTGTGTGTGTGTGTGTGTATTGCGGTGTGTTGTGACCTGGGTAGTTGGGGTAGTTGTTTGTGGGTGTAGGTTGCGTCATGGCCACCATACTGGGCATACTCATGCCGTAGCCGTCGTACTCATCCATGCGATGGAAACTGCATTATGGATGCCAAAGCGTTCAGTGAAGAAACAAACGACACATCGCTTCAACGACATCGAGCCAAACAAGTGTTTTGTCTTTCCCCTCACTGGTTATCGTTGCTATGGTCGTGGTCGAATGGCAAGTGCTTGAGCTCGCTGGGCGCGTGGGCGTCCACACAACTGACGTCGTAACTCGGCTTTGCCTGCATCCACATACCCACACACGCACACAACCTGATGGTGCGATGGCAGGCTCGATCACGCACCTGCAGTGGCAGGTTGCACAGCGCTGTCTTGCGCAGGTCAGGCTTCTCGCGCAACTCCCCCTGCCCATCTGATACACACACACGGACACACCATCACCCCCGCCCACAGATGTCTTGAGGGATGGACGTATCAGCCTGCCGACGGCCGACCGACGTACGTGCGAAGTTGCAGTGGTTGCCCAACGAACAAATGCCCGACATGTGGAACTTCGTCTTGCGCAGCGCCGCCAACGTGTCCTGACGCACCGGGGGCGGACGCCCGCGCACACCACCACGCACGCCCCCCCCCCCTCCCCCTCCCATTCCCCCTGCCATCTCCATGGTTATGCCCACCCCTCCCTTCCCCTGCGGGCCTCTGTTGTGTATGTCATAGTTGGCCGTGTCTGCGCTGTTTGTGGGGGTGAAGTCGGGGCCGTTCTGTGTGTAGGGGTGCTGCTGCTGCTGCTGGTACTGGTGGTGCTGGTACGGGTACTGCTGGGTGGTGGTGCTGGTGTGTGTGGGGGTGGGTGTGGGGTTGTAGGGGATGAAGTCGGCTGTCAGCGGCATGGGCTCACGGTAAGTACACGCCTGCAAATGGATGGACGGACGGGACCGACGTTAGGCGTGCGAGCGTGTGCGTGTGCGTGTGCGTGGATGGGCGTGCGTGCGTGTACCTGTTTGGTGTCCATCGGATCGCCCCGCCCCTGCTGCACCGCCACACCGTCGTCCATCCGCACCACAGCAGTGGACTCCTGGGCACCCGGCCCCGCCGAACACAAACTCTTCTCCACCTCTATCCACAGATCACGCCTGCACACATCATGACACACAAGACGTATACAAGGGTATACATCTTCTGTGTGTGGGTGTGGGTGTGGTGTGTTGCCGGTCTTGTGTGTGTACCAGAAGTCGTTGAACAGTTTCTCGTAGTGACTGATGAGCGAAGATGGGTCCATGGAGATGGGCGTGGCCGTCTGGTGGGCCAGCTGCTGCAGCAGGCCGTGCACCGCCACACACCCACTCGACGAACCAATCCTGCACGCAACCACGCCAAGAGAGATCCATGGTCTTTGTTGTGTCCGCTGCCCTTCTCCTTCCCAGGCGGCCCTCCCTTACTTTTTGATTTTGTGTATGCATTGCTCGACGTAAGCGTCGCTCAGGCCGAGCTTCATCTGCAAATCCACCAACGTCCTGCACACACACTCATACATACGGATGCCATCCAGCATCGCAGGGGGAGATGGATGGATGATCCATCCATCTCCCTCCCATTCCCTCACCTCACGAGATCTCCCCGCTTCAACTCCAGGTACAGGTGGTCATGGTCATGGGTGTGGCTGTGCACCGCATCTCTCCCGCTGCCAGAATGCCCTCCCCCCATCCGCAGGCCGCCACAACTGCCACTGCCGCCCCCCTGCTGCGCATCCAATGGGGTGACGTAGCCCGTCTGGCGACCTGGAGGAACGAAATACGTGCCCAATGCGGGCACGGATTGCTCACCGTTCTGCGCCAACATCACGGTTGTTGGATGCCCAATCCGGCGGTGTAAACGCTTAAACGCTTTTCTGGCCGGCTGGGTTTGCCGCTCTCCCCACTCTTTTCTGCCAGTGGACTGACTCCTCGTCACTCGTTGGTCACAAATACGTCCCGCCCCATCCTATGCAGATAATATGCATCTCTCCCCGCCAAAACACAAAACCAACTCAACCTCTCCTTCACGGGCACACGTCGATGCCCGTCCATCGACACACACACACGTGCAAGCCTGTCTGATGTGTGTCAGGATATCTATCGCCTCTGCAGTGCTGCGGTGTCTGTGAGTACGTCCCACAGGAGCTCCTCCTCGTCGACCGCACGGCTGTCAGTGATCTTCTTCAGATACACCTGATGGATGGATGGATTGACACATCGATGTGACCACGACACACACACACACATGAGGTCGTTCAGTGGGTGTGCGAGTGAGTATGGTGTGCCTGCCTACCATCGACCGCCGCCCCCAGCTGTACTCCTTCTGCCGCGACGGCGGGAGGTCCTCGACCGAACCCTCCACGAACCCCCTCTCCTTGAACCTGACAACACCCCGCCACCCGACACAGGGCAGACACACACTCATTCAAGGGGGGTGGTCACACGTTGGCGCGTTCGTTGTGTCTTTTCGTTTGTCACTGGTGGAGGTACCACTGCATTGTGTTTGTGGAGAGGCAGAAGAGCGTCTTGATCTGCTTCTGCACCGAAAGGCGCTCGATGAACGACAGCATGGACTCCCCCCTGACAGCCACAGACATACGAGACGACAGAGATGAGGTTCATGGCGATTCGTCTGCTGTGCTGTCCTGTGTGCACTGACTTTCCGATGCGTCGGTATTTGGGATGGATGGCGAGGCACGCCAACTCACCGAACCCGTTCCTGCAGCACAGCAACACACGACAGACGCATCAACCACATTCATGAGAGGCCAACAACGGTTGTGCATTTTGTCCGCGCGCCCTTACTCGAAGAGCCTCAGCTGCGCCACACCGATGATGCCCTCATCCCTGTATCGCGCATCCGAGCGAAGCACCGTATCGCATGCCACTCACTTAGCTGCGCGCTCATTATCCTCTCTCTCTCTCCGTGTGTGTGTGTGTGTCCAGTCCCCGTCACCTGATGAGCACATGGTAGGATTCTATCTCCAACTCGATGTCAGCCCGGGTCCGCTTAGTCAAGATGCCCTCGTCCTGCACACACACACACACACACATCACACGTGCCCTATGAGCCTCCTCCCTTCCTCCCTTCCTCCCTCCGTCCCTCACGATGAGCGGCTGGATGAGTTTGAGAATGCCCCTGACGTCCCGCGGCTGTGCGCGTCGGATGCCCTCGTATAGGTCGCGGGAGATGAGCAGGCCCGAGCCGTCCCGTGTGTAGAGCTCCTGCAGCAGAGCGCCGTCGTAGGCATTCACCAGGTGGGCCCTGTCCACCTCACCCTTGTCCAGCGCCTGACAGGCACATGGTCACCCAGCCATGTCGCATGAGAACATGAGAGCGATCTCAGACATGTACTCTCTGCACGTGTGGTGTGATGTGGTGTGGTGTGGATGACGCGTACGTTGACACAGAGCTGGCAGTACTTGAGCCCCTTGGTTAGCGCCTGGCCGTCGGAGGTCTTGCAGTCGGCCACGAGAGGGGCACCCAGCAACTCAAGGTCAGGCCTGACACAAACACACACACACGCACCTCAGCGTGTCCGTCGTGTGTCTTGCTATCCCACTCACCCGCCGAGAGTGGCTGGGAGGATGTCTGGCGCGCCGAGTGACAGCGACACATTGTAATGCTGCAGCAAACCCTTGGCGTCCTCCAACCTACGCACACACACACACACACACACACACATATACATATGCTCCCGAATTGCGCCTGTCACCAGCAGCCCCTAGATCAGCTGGCTGACCTGAGGCTCTGTATCCTCCTCTCCCTCCCCTGTCGCTGCCCCTCCCGGCCGTCCCTGAACTGGAACCCCTCGGTGAGGAAGATGATCTTGGACGCCCGCAGCTCACGAGCTGCCGACACCGCCAGCTGGTCAGACATCGTGTTGAACACGTCACCGCTGGGCGAGTAACCTGCACTCACAGTGTGTTGAGGGGAGGTAATGACAGGTGTGTCATTTCTCGTTCTGTGTGAGTATGCTGACCGACCGAGAGAGGTGAGGAGGACGACTTCCCCCTGGTCGAGGTGCTGTTCGATGGCACGGCTGTCGATCTTGCGCACCTTGCCCGTCTTCTCGAAGTTGATGCCCCAGTTCCGCGGGATACCTGATGGATGCCACACACACACACACACACACACACACACAGACTGACTAATGTGGGTGTGAGGTATGCCCACGCCACGTACCAACTGGGTTAGCGGTGTAGAATCTGTTGCTGCTGGCGACAGGCACTTGACTGTTGGTCAAGCCTACCCCCCTCGCCAGGTAGCTCTCAACCTCCGTCCGCACATAGCCACCCTGTGTGCCGCGCCCACGCACACGCACACACACACACACTCTCCACATATGCACCGACACCCACATGCGGCATCGTCTGGCTGCGTGCACAGGCACCTGTTCCTTGACGACCCGCAGCGTGTCTTCGTTGGTGATCCTGGTCTCGCCGACGAACTGGACGGGCATGGCCATCTGGCGGAGGCGCGTGTCGACCTGCTCCCGGCACCCGCACACCAGCACCAGTTTGACGCCCAAGATCCACAACACACTCAGGTCCTCCATCAACGACGGAAACACTGGACGGTCCAACATGTACCCTGCCCACACCACACACAGACAGAGAGGGATCTCGTCACACAGACAGGCAGAGGGCACATTGCTTTCCTTCGTGAAGTTGCCCACCTGGTATATGGACAACGAATATGTGTCCCCTGTGCGACGCTATGTACGGCGCGCAGCCCCGGAACATGCTCACGAACCCATGCCCATTGCCGCCCTGACCGGCCGGCTGCTGCTGGGCCGACAGCGGCACCACATCGAACGGAGGCACCACCTCAATGCACTCCGGAGGGATGGAGAACAAATCGTCGGCCGGCTCGCTCGCCTCGGCCCCCCTCCAGCCGTTCGCATGACCCTCAGGCACGTCAGACAGCCTCACCCCCGGCCGCACACATGGTGGCCGGCGGCCTCTGCTGGTGCTGAGGGGTCTTGTGCGGCAGAGGTGGATGAAGGCGTCCTTCCTTCTGGCAGCTGTGTGCCGTCGCAGCAGGGACTTGGCAAGAGAGGGGCGGGGGACGATGCTCAGAAGGATGATGGACAGAAGGGTGGCACTGCCGACTAGCAGCCGACGCAGTCTTGCGAAAGAACCGAGTGGACGGCCATGAGGAGGTCGAGGTAATGCAGCACCGGCGCTTGCCGCATGGGCCATAGGCTGACCATGTCGTCCACAGGCAGCCGACGGCATGGATCTGCTCACTGCCTCGTCTTGGTGTTCCTCAGCGTCCCTCCATGCATCTCGCTTGTCAAATGCGAACCTCTCGCCGCTCATCGCAGCTCGGTGCCGGGAGAGGGACCGAACGCTGTGTCAGTTGTGTAGTCGTCCACACGAGAGATCTCCGTAGTTAAAAGCGGCGGTACATGGATCCACCTCTAGTGCATCCGGTGCAGATCTCAGTCGGCTTAGCTCGCAAAACCCTGCAATGGGGCTGAGAGTTGAACAGATTGTCCGCCTATCCACGCACATGGGACAGCAGTATGATCGCACTTGCTTGTGTCTTGAAGGCAACAAAAAGATCTCGAGGCCAGATACATGAAAAAGCGAAAAAAGGGGAAGACTGCCGGTGAAAAAGACGTATACTAAGAAGACCGCACGGCCTAAACAAGCAAAACGGCCTTTCAAACTGCCTTTCAATCTTCGTTCTCAGATGGCCACCACGACCCAAGCGGCAACCATCAGGCAGCCCACGATGAGGGCCAACCCAATGCCCTTCCCACCCGTCCCCGAGTCATACTGATCTTGGGTGTCCTGTCTGTCGTCGCCTGAGCGTCGGAAGCACTGCGGGCCGGCCTCCTCGTCCTCCTTCCAGCAGCAGTTGAGCAAGCTGCAGCCATTCTCGTCCACATTGGAGCCCCCGCAGGGCTGTCTGTCGGCTTCTTCGACAGCGCTGCACAATCCCCTGGGCGTCCCGCCGGGGCTGATGCCTTCGAAGAAGATGGGCGGATCGGAGTTGATGGGCTGCCAGGCCGTGTGGATCCGAGGGATTGTCGTGTTGAGCACCTGGCCCTGAAGAGACAGAAAAGAGAGCAGACACACATGATAAGACAGGCACACAGGCACACAGACGGACAAGGAGGGAGAGACAGCTCCTCCTACTCAGCCCCCACAGTCACTCAGGTACGTACCTTCAGTGACGTGATGCGCACACTGTAGGGCGGTTCTATTCTTCTTTGCCCGCCTTTGAGGCCCGTGACTTCTGTCTTGAAGACGAACACCCCAGCCGCCCACTGATCCATGGTCCACCACCTGTCGGACCCCTTGTGGTATACCTGTCGGGTAAATAGCGTGCCCAGTTTGCTCGTAAAGTAGTTGATCTTTCTGCTCATGGACGTACCTCAACCTTCCGGGGCGGAATGGGCATGTTGCGCACTTGTATCTGCAAGGCAAGAAAAAAAAAAGACATGTAGACGACACGAACGAGCGACTGATTTGTGGTTCTGTCTGTCTTTCTTTCTTTCTTTCTTTCTTTCTTTGTGTCTCCACTTGCCTACCGACAGGAAGTGCGCATTGTATCCGTTGTTTCCTGTCGAAGTGCCAGGATCAAATGCGAACTGGACGGGCTGCCCCCCCGAGTCGCCTACCGTACGTACAAAGACGGACACATGGACATTCATCGACAGTATGCGCATCGATCGCTCACAATCAACGGCCACCCACGTCGCCTGAAACTTGCCGCCTCTGCTCCCATCGGAGACATCAAAGTGGCCGGAATCGCATTCCTAAACACACACGCCGTGCATATTTCTCCTTGCCTTCCCTCCTCGCGCCTCGATCTCAGCCCACTGAGCAAGAAGCAAAGCACTTACTTATAGGACATTGGTTGTTGGCGAAGACCTTGAATTTCTGATTCTGAGGCGGAATGTCTGCATGCACCCAGCCAGAATATCCCCTATCGTGCACAGCAAGACGGTCTTCACTCGCCTACCACTCTCTTGGCCACTGCCAGGCGTGCTCTTGTCGCTCATCCCAATGTTGGTGTGGAGCACCTCGAAGCACATCCCGCATCCTCTGCCGTCGGCGAATACATCGGGAGGAAGCGCAATAGTCCTCCAGATCCCATTCGCTGCACCCGAAGTCAGGAAAGCGTCAAGTATCGCCGCACACGGAGGGCTTCCTGACTGACTTACTGCCAGTGGGTGGGTCAGGATGGATCCTGCATTGCCCTCTGTCGGCGTCGGTGAGGTCCCAGTAGTACGTGAGGGCACCTGAAGCACCCAGTGGCACACATACCAGCCAGCTCATCCATTCACATACATCTGTATGGACAGGGCGTCCTGACCTTCTCGGGGGGTGGAGTACAGATTGAGCAGCGTGTTCCACGCATCACCAGTCACTTCACAAATGAGGCCGAGAGAGGCCACAAGCAACAACACACAAAACATCATCTTCACAGGCATGCATGGGGGCCGTACCCTCCCCCGGCCCCCAATGGGGGACCAGGGGGTCTCGAACCCGGAATGGGGGAGCCCCCCCAGGGGGGTCGAGACTGGGGGCCTGTGTGGGGGAAGTTGCGAGGATTTACCGGAGTACGTTGCTGAGATGAGCAGCTAGTAGCAATGGACCAAGAAAGGTCTGCATCTTCGCGGAAATCGCTAAATTCTGAGATAGGGGGGGAAGTAGAAGTCGTCTACTTTAAGCTGAAGGTGCTGAAGGGTCAGAAAGCTCCCTGGTTTTGCTGTCCATTCTACATCTGTGAGCGCCTGTACTTGCCGTCATGCCCCTTCATGGAGCATCTGCTGGCCGAGAAGGCGGCGGGGGCGTGGCCGGAGGAGCCGTGGGTGCTCACTGGCAGTGAGGCCTTTTTCGAGCGTTTCGAGATCGATCGACACCAGTGTGCTCACCACCCAGGACGTGCAGACCCTGTACAACCAGAGGAAGAGAGGCTTCGTAACCTTTCGTGAGCATCAGCACAGAGGGGGGCTGGACACAAAGAGAGCGTCTGTATGTGCTGTTGCTTACTGTTGCTTATTCAGGCAATATTCAGGCAATGCCGTGACAGATCCCCAGCCATCGGCCAACAACACTGGCCAGCAGACGGTAAGTTCTCGCACTCACCATCGAGTTGAAGAGAAACCAAGCCGTCTGCTGTTCCTTCAGCCCACTGGGTCTCCTCCCGGCGACGCGGGCTCTGCTCGCGCAGCGGCTAGGCCCACTGGGTCTGCCGACGAGGCGGGCTCTGCTCCCGAAGCGGATCAGGGGCAGCAGGTATCACTCCCACATCTCATATCAACAGGGGATCCACACCTGTGTTTTGAATGGACCATTGACGGATTGGTGTGGTGCGTGTGTGCCTGTTTGCGTTGTGTGGTGCAGGTGGGTCGTGCTGCATCGTACCACACCTCTACGGACCAAGGGCAGGTAAGTCGACAACACCAAATCCACCCTCACCGAGTGTATGAATCGTCTCTTTGCTGGTCGATGTGGGTGTCGCTTTCAGGGTGGTCGTGACAGCGGTTTGGCGTCCCCGTCGGCCGTGCCGTCGCCACCAGCACCAGCTCCTGCTGCCGCCGCCGCCGCTGCTTCGTCATCCCAGGACCAACCTGATGTTCCGTATGCTCCCATGGTGCGCACGTGCTTGCACAGATCTCCATCCATTGCGTGGTGGATGCGTGTATGTATTGTGTGGGGCCTGTCTGTTGTGGGTCAACAGGAGGTTTCTCCCTCTCCCTACGAGTCCGAGCAGGTACACAAAACTGACCCCCATCCAGCGGCACACAACCTCACCCATGGTGCTCTCTGCTATGTGTATGTATGGATGTGTGGCTGTGCAGCGGGACGACAGTGGGTCGGGGCACACGTTGTCGAGTAGTCGCCCGCACCAACAGCAAGACCAGGCCCACCAGGTACGGAACCCCACATACTCTCCGTTTGTTCCACCTTGTTTGATGGCTGGATTGGTGTGGTGCGTGTGTGCCTGTTTGCGGTGTGTGTTGCAGGTGGGTCGTACTGCATCGTACCACACCTCTACGGACCAAGGGCAGGTAAGTCAACAACACCAAATCCTCCCTCACCGACTCTATGAATCGTCTCTTTGCTGGTCGATGTGGGTGTCGCCTTTCAGGGTGGTCGTGACAGCGGTTTGGCGTCCCCGTCGGCCGTGCCGTCGCCACCAGCTCCTGCTGCTGCCGCCGCCGCCGCTGCTTCGTCATCCCAGGACCAACCTGATGTTCCGTATGCTCCCATGGTGCGCACGTGCTTGCACAGATCTTCCATCCATTGCGTGGTGGATGCGTGTATGTATGTGTGGGGCTTGTCTGTTGTGGGTCAACAGGAGGTCTCTTCCCCTCTCTACGAGGCCGAGCAGGTACGCGAAACTGACCTCCATCCAGCGGCACACAACCTCACCCATGGTTCACTCTGCTATTTGTATGGATGGATGTGTGGCTGTGCAGCGGGACGACATTGGGTCGGGGCACACGTTGTCGAGTAGTCGCCCGCACCAACAGCAAGACCAGGCCCACCAGGTACGGAACCCCACATACTCTCCGTTTGTTCCACCTTGTTTGATGGCTGGATTGGTGTGGTGCGTGTGTGCCTGTTTGCGGTGTGTGTTGCAGGTGGGTCGTACTGCATCGTACCACACCTCTACGGACCAAGGGCAGGTAAGTCGACAACACCAAATCCTCCCTCACCGACTCTATGAATCGTCTCTTTGCTGGTCGATGTGGGTGTCGCCTTTCAGGGTGGTCGTGACAGCGGTTTGGCGTCCCCGTCGGCCGTGCCGTCGCCACCAGCTCCTGCTGCTGCCGCCGCCGCCGCTGCTTCGTCATCCCAGGACCAACCTGATGTCCCGAACGACAACAAAATCGAAGTGCTTCCCGTTGGCAGCTCCGACGGGGCGACCTCACCGTCAATGCGGCATGAGAAGTAGTCGGCGGGGCCTCGCCAACCCTCCTGAACGATGAATGTGCCATAGCAAGGAGTTTGTTCCGGCCGCCCTACACTGCGTACAGAAACCGTTGTGTTGCGAGCCTGCGGAATGCAAAGCGGAAAACTGGCGAGGAATCGCCCACGGCATACATGTCGACAGCAATGAGCATCAAAAGAGACGTCAACCAACAAGGGGAACAAAACGCTTCATTTGACATTGCAGAGATATCGCAAGAACACTGCCCGGAATTGGCCCGGAATTCAACCAATGGGAGCGTACAGAAAGCCTGGCTGCCGTAATTGATGCGCGGCTATGTCACGGGACGGGGAATATATGGGCAGACATATCCTGTGATTATGGGCGGAAGATTCAAAGGATCGTCGAAGTTTCGACCATGGCACCTGTATTGATTCATCAGTGCAGCCCCAGGAGTCGATCTTTCTGCCTCCTCACCCGTGACTCTGCCGGGAGGCAAGAGATTTTGGCGGGGGGGGAGGAAAGAGCGGAAACAAGGATTTTTTTCGCTTCTACACAGCAAGAATGGCTGGCAGGGGCATGATTGACGGAGAGTCGATTTCTTTTGGGTCACGATATTGAATGACAATGAAGGCAGAGACAGGAGACCGTTGGTCTATATGCAGAGAACACCAACAGGGCTACACTGGATGGTTCTTTGCATTGCACTGCGAATCGAATTCGCAAGAGAGCAGAATCAAAGGGCAGGCTGGCCTAAGGCAGCAGACACAGGGGAGCTATCTCAATCTATCTGTGTCCAGTGAAAGCGAAAAATGTCGCAAGAGTCATTGCACTCAGAGATGGTCCATAGAGGTTATCGAGATCAACTTCGAGCGATGCTCGGACGGCTGTGCGCCGAACCGACCAAGCTATAGCAGCAGTCAGCCGAAGAGTCACGAAGCTAACTTAAGGAAGCAGCAGTAATTGACACATATAAGATGATGGCGCACGGCCTGTTTACTTTTGCCTCACCGGCATTGTTTTCAGCAGGCCTCGTACGTCAGCAGATAGCGTCTTGCTTCCTGGTGAGCACAATCGACGGGAGCTGTCAAGGTCTGTTGGAGACCGTAAAGCAATGTGCACAGGTCTCCCATATGGGTGGCGGCATCGGCATTGCCCTACACGACATCAGAGTTGAACACTCACGCCGAAAGGGCGACATGGGTACATTGGGTGGAGTGCTTTCGTACCTGTCGGTGCTCAACCCAACCATGCAGATAGCCGACCAATGCGGCAAACGCAAAGGGAGCCTGGCGGCGTTTCTGGCCGATCACCACATGGATCTTCCAGCCTTCCTGCAATTAAGGAAAAATCAACAACAAGCAGGAGAAGTGCGCGCAAGAGAAATCTTCACTGCGGCATGGATTTCTGACCTGTTCATGGAGAGGGTGAAGAATGATGCACAGTGGACTCTCTTCGACCCACTACAGGCGCCCGGCCTTGCCAATGTCTTTGGCAGGGAATTCGAGGACTTGTATCATCGCTATGAGCGAGAGGGGAGGGGAGGTAGGGTGATTGCTTGGGCACGATTGACTCGATTCTCTGACGAGTCACTCAAGGCCACCTTCTTCGTGACGTGACTGCAGACGCTACTGCTGCAGGGCTCCCCTGTTGAAAGTGGGACCACCCCTCCAGGACGGAGAGGGCTCCCCCAATGCTGATGCAAAGCTCCCCAGCTGGAGAAAGACCTCTCAGGAACAGAGAGGCCTCCACCGAGTGCTGCAGGGCTCCCCTGTTGAAAGTGGGACCCCTCCAGGACGGAGAGGGCTCCCCCAAACAGAGATGGGGGAGGGGGGTCGAGAAGCGGGGGAGCAGGGGAGTGGGGGCGGGGGAGGGTACGGCCCCCATACAATATTACAGCTTCATATTCGCGGCGCCTCCCGAGGCGATGGGGGCGCAAAAAGTCGAGAAGGCCGAAATAATAGTACTAGCATCTCCCGTCATGGGCATCATTCTTGCCGTCCTCCCTGGACTCCTCTCTGTCTGTGCCGCCCTCCCCCGGCTGAACATTGACCGAGTCCTGAGCTGCCGAGGGCCGCTGACGGACTGCCCCGGCGCCTTCGAGGTACCGGCGGAGACCTTGTCGACGGCAACAGACTGCTCGGTGTTGGATGACCCGGCAGAGTGCGATCAGGAGCAAGAACCTGATGACGCGGATGCAGACGACAAGTTGTTGAGGGGGCTCGGGAGGAGGAGGCCGCAGGACGATCATGTGCCGTCAGCTGAGAAGTTCCAGCTGAAGCACAGTGTCCATCCAGTGCTAAGTGCGCCGAGGGTTGCGGTCGATTATGACGGCGATGGAGCGGAGGTCGTTATTCTTGACGTGAGCGGGAGGGAAGGTTCTCGAAAAGCGTTGACGGTCTGCCATGGCCGCTTTGTGTCTATATGGTGCAGGGCGACCAATCCCACAGTCACGAGACCAACGCGTGAGCACATCACACACACGAGGGACAATCCCGTCACGCTGCGAGGCTTATGTGTTGCAGTGATGGTGCTCTGGTGATATCCCGTTGGCAGTGGTCCGTCAACAACACGACCATGTCTGACGGCAAGCGCGAGATCCACTCGGCCAGCCTGCCCCTCGGCCGTCACTGGGTGCGGCTGAAGGTGCACGACAGCTCACGTCCATCCAAGCAGGAGGAGGTCGGCACATATGTGGACGTCGTCAGGCCCGACAAGGTGCCTGGCGTACAGGTGTGGCTCTACTCGCCCAACGTGGCTGACAACCCTAGCATTGAGAAGGTGAGAAGGAGCGGACGCAAGCAAGCACCATGGCAGCCCGCTGAGTCTGTCCCTTGGTGTTTTTCCAGATGCTGCACAAGAGCCCAGAAGACCTGGCAAAGGAGCTCACCCCTTCCTTCGTCGGCAAGTCCTTCACGTCTTTCTCCATCCCAGTGGACCAGAAGAGCGGCAACCTGGCGGGCTCAGGGCTCAGCAAAAACGTCATGGCCAACGTGCGCGCCAAAATTGTGCTGGACGAGTCGATCAACCCGGATGGCGAAGTCACAGTGGAGCTGCCTGGCGTGACCAAGGCCGCCATTCTGATCAACGGTTTGCCGGTGAAGTCGGGCGAGGCCATCAGCCTGCCCACCAACACCACTGCCGACTTCGATGTGAGGTTTGGTCTGAGTGATCGGGCGACTGACGTGCCGTCTGTGGAGGTCAATAGGAAAGCAGTGGAGGCCTTCGCTGCCGACGATGTCGTCGCTGACGGTGTGCGTGTGTTCCACGACGAGACGGCCATGAAGCCCCACATCAACGCCATCACGCCCAAGCACGCCCCTGTGGGCGAGACGAAATCCGTCACCATCACGGGAGCGGGCTTCATCATGCCACAAGACAGCAAGGCGCTGCGCGTGGTGATCGGGGGGCGCAACGAGTCCCTCATACCCACCCAAGTGTCGCCGACACGCATCAAAGTGGACATGCCGGCGACACATGCCGAGCACACCTATGGCGTCAGCGTGGCATCGTCGCGGGGCAATTCCAACTGGGCCGAGTTCAAAGTCTCTGCTGCCAGCTCAAGCATGCCCGAGATCAAGTTCCACCCACCTACGGCTATCCGCACTAAGGCCCGGCCGACTGCTGGTGCTTGGGGCGTTGACAACCGCTTCTACATGGGAAGCATGGAGGGGCTGATAGAGGTGAGTGGCTGATGGGGGGCAGGCAGAGCAGAGCAGTGAAGTGAAGTGGCACACAGATTGGGTGGCGCATCATGGTGTGGGCAGGTATATGACTTCGATATGGACTACAACGTCAAGAAGAAACAGACGCTGAAGGTCATTGACGAGAAGTACCCCGGCGACACCATACTCGGCATCAGGGCCGACCCTTACAGCGACCCCGAGAAGCAGCACCTGTACGTCGCCCACTCCAACCTGGGCGCAGCGGTATGCCACCCACCCACACAGAGCGTCGGCTCACACCATGTGTTCATCCATCAGGGGGGCAATGACTGCGAGGTCACGAAGAAGCACGGCATGGTCTTCCCCGGCCGCATCAGCCGCATCACCGGGCCAGACTACACCAGAATCGAAAAAGTGGTGACCAACCTGCCGGCAGCCAACAAGGGAGGGCTTGGACCAAACGGCATCGACTTCGTAATGAGCAGCACCTCCACACACAAATGGGGGCAAGAAACACTTGTGTGTGGATGTCTCTGTGTGTGTGTCAGTCGCTGGATGGCGACCTCTTTTGGGCTCAGGCGTCCGTCGGCAACGGCGGCCCCCCCGTGTGCTTTCTCGGCGGGCTGCAGGACTCGCCCCTCACCGCATCCGTCAACAGGGCCCAGTTCCGCCGACCCGACTACACACCGGATATCGACTACGTGTGGAAAAACACCACCGGCATGATAGCCAAGGGGCTGGCGAACAAGAGGGCACCCAACGACCAGCGTGAGGCGTCCAGCTACAGCATCGCTCCTTGGGTCAAGGGCATCGAGTGGTACGCCGCCGGCTTCCACAATCCATTCTCAATCGTGTGGACGACTGATGGCGAGTTGTGGACCACCACCAATGGCCTCACTGGCGGCAACGCTTGGGACACCACACAGATACCCGAGTACATCAAGCGCATGCAGGAGGGATCCTGCGCATGGCCTGAGTGCCAGCCGCCTGCCAAATTCAGGAAATCAGTCGACAGGGTGGGTGGGTGCGTGGGTGGCCGGGGCGGAGAGAGAGAGAGGTGCATCCACTTTGCTGCCATGGCGTGTGTCGTGTGGTGATGTGTGGTGATGTGTGCAGGTGACAGGCCCGCTCAATTACAAGGACTATGGGGGGTATCCCAACCCAGCGAGGGCACTGGAGGGCGACGAGCGGCAATGGTACTACTTCTCGGCTGCCGACCCGCCCAACCCCATGATATACAAACAGGGCTTCGCCGTCGACTCGTCCGTCAACGGCATAACCGAATTCAGAGGTCAGCAAACAAACCAGACGCACAGCAGACGCCCACGTCACCATCCCTCCTCTGTTTTCGTGCAGGCAACTGTTTCAATGGTCAGCTGAAAGGCGACCTCCTCGCCCAGCAGTGGGACAAGAAGACCTACCGGCTGGACCGACCGAAGCCGGGCGAGAAGCGCCAGACCACTTTATCCGTCCTGACGGGGAAGCTCAAGGGGCTGACGCTCAACTATGGGCCGCAGTGTGCGGTGATCAGTGTGGACTTCACCGCCTTCAGCATCAAGGTCATGCGGCCGGACGATGAGGCCGCCAAGAAGACTGACCAGCCACTGGTGCGCTGCAGACGAGAGGCACATGCCAATGCCATTCATTGCCGTGGATTGGCCTATGTGTGTGTGTGTGTGTGTGCATCAGGTGTACGACATCAACCGGTGGCGTGCCAGCCCCGAGTATGACCAGACGCTTCACATTGGGGGGGCAAACTTCAACAAAAAAGGGAGGAAGGCCACCAAACTCACAATCGGCGGACGGACATGCGACATCAAGACCCAATCGGTGCCTTACCTACCGCACAAACACACACACACGAGGGCGGCACATCTTTCCTTGTGGCTTGCTGTTGTGCGTGTCCGCAGGATGGCGAGATCCGGTGTGTGTTGCCATCAGCAGCGAAGGGTGACTTCCCGCGGGGCTTCCAGGCGATCGATGTGTCGTTTAGCGACGGCACCAAGGGACACCTCGACGACGCCTTCATCTACCTCAAGCCAGGGATGGGGCTGGAGAGCAACAGAGACACCAAAGACGGCTAGGCAGCCAAACCAAGGTGACCGGGCATTTGTCGGTAGGTTCGTTTCGTGTGTGGTCCATATGGCGTGGCGTATATCCGATGACAGTGCAGAGGGCACCGGTGCATGTGATGCTGTGTGTGGGTACATATGTGCCTGCCCGATGGCAGAGGGATGAGAGCCGAGCTGCTGGGACGTGAGGTCAGTGACGTGTGTATACATATCGTCGTCAGTGTACTGTACATATATATTGGGAGTAATTCATCGGGGAGGGGAGTATATTTTTCAGTGCAAGCAACAAAACAAATTGGTGCCTTGACTTGACAGCTAGGGTCTCCTGCCATATTGTATCCCTGTGTGACGTGGGGTCTTGCTCTCATTGTTATGTCTTGCACCTGGGTCTTGCATCAAGCAGCCTAAAGAGGGCAGGCAGATATTCACGTGCATGCAAAGGCCAAATCGACATATTGCGCCTGAATGTCCTCAAGGAAGGAGCATATCCCGATGGTAGCGCTGATTTGAGCGCTCGGCAATGAGTGGAATCTTTCGAGCGATCCAACCGCGAGCTTGCGCGCAAAAAGAGAGCGCCGCTCGGAGCGGCAGGATGGAGAAGCCTCACGTGCGTGTCGGCGTGGGAGTGATCATTCTCCGGGAAGACAAGGTGCTCGTCGGCAAGAGGTAAGCAAACACGCACGCATCTGAAGCACACATCTTTCCATGCTCCTCCCCTGCTCCTCGTGTGTGTGGCCTCTCCGTTTCGTGCAGGAAGGGCGCACACGGCGCAGGTTAACACGAAGGATGCACGCCGATGCTCCATTCCTGGAGCATGAATGTGCTGACTGCTGCCCTGTGTCCAGGCAAGTGGCAGTTCCCCGGCGGTCATCTGGAGTTCGGTGAGGACGTCATTGACTGCGCCAAGCGGGAGGTCAAGGAGGAGACTGGCCTGGAGATCTTCCACTCTCGCGTCGGCCCTTACACCAATGACAAGATGATGACAGGTCAGCAATTCATCATCACAATGGTTGATGGCAGTGCCCAGCTTCTGCCTGTCTGCACAGAGAACAAGCATTACATCACCCTCTACGTCATCGCCCTCTCACCGCCAGGGCAGCCAGACCCACAGCTGCTCGAGCCACACAAATGTGAAGGATGGTGAGATGACCAACCACATAGACAGACACTCGAACGATAAGCTCTCCTGGTCGATGGTGTGTGTGGTGTGTGGGTGTGTGGATGCAGGCGCTGGGTTGAGTGGCCTGAGCTGCGGCAGCTGGAGCCTCTGTTCACTCCTATCCTGAACCTGATGGACCAGGGCTACTGTCCCGAAGAGCTCATTGAGGCGTGACACAGGCACATCATTCATTCATCAATTCATCCGAGGGAGGCTCGAAGGAGAGGGCGATGAGTAGTAGGGAGGGAGGGGCACGTAGGTAGGTGTTGGTAGCCGAACGGACAGACAGCGGATGTTGTAGGAGTGCGCTGAGAGGACCTTCTCAGACTTCTCGGTTGTACAGGGCTAGTCGACGACTGTCTAGCGCTTTTTCTCGTGCATCTGTAGGCGATGGTGTATGCATTTTCACCAGGGATGAAGGGGGAAAAAACACCACGCTTTCGAGACTGGGAGACTGCAGGGTTTGTAGGGTTAAAAATATGAGAAAACAAAAACAAAAAAGAGGTTCCCTCCTCCTAGCCTCGTTGTCGTGGGCGCTGCCCGCTTGCACTCCACCGTCATTATGTGAAGTGCAAGCGGGAGAAAGAGCAATCCACAACCCCAAGGCCAACGACGGCGGCGGCTTGTGGGACAACGAACTACTCTCGGAGTTGATATTCTTCGACGAGGAGACGGGAAAGGGAGTCTGGGCGGCTGCGGCAGAGGTCATCCACATGGCCGGCGAGGAGCCCGCGGCAGCGGCAGCTGCTGCTGCTGCTGGTGGCGGTGGGATTCCGAAAGGTCACCCCGCCGCAGAAGTCCATCAAGGCCACACCGCCGCAGAAGTCCATCAATCCCAACGACACACGCGTCTCGCCCGGCAGCGGGGGCGGGATTGGCCGCGGCAAGCGCCACAGCAGTGGCAGCGGTCCCTGGGAAAAGACCAACACGGGTGCAGTGGGTGGCACTCAGACGCCGTCTGACGGTGGGGAGGGGGACAGGGCCGAGGGGCGACGGAAGACCAAGGGACGCGGCGAGGAGCCCGGGGCAGCGGCAGCAGCAGCTGCTGCTGGTGGCGGTGGGATTCCTGCGTCCATCCCAAGCGAGATTCCAAAACGTGAGGAGAGGGAGGAGTGGACGTGCATCTCAGTGAGTGCTGCATCGGTCATCGTACGTTGTGTGGGTGTCTGTTCAGCTCTGTGTGACGTGCTCCGTCGCTACAACCTGACCGACATGATCATGACGCCGGATATCGTCACCTACATCAGCCCAATGGTCAGCGAGCCGCGAGACCCTCACACAGATCAGATCAATGCTCACACGTACACACAGACAGATGACCGGTCTGTCTGTCTGTCTGTCTGTCTGTATGTGTGCAGACCATCAGCGACCTGGAGGACTTCATCGACGGCAACCTCGACGCCAGCCTGGACCCGGAGATCCGCAAGGAGATCGCCAGAGCCCTCAACGTCGCACTACAGCAATCTCACCCGCAGCACAACAATGGTATGCACTCCACGCGTCACACCAACACTCCACCAGCACGGCGCACACACACACATCCTGCCGTCTCCCTCCCTCTTCTGTAGACATCGCCTCCGGCCCTTCCACTGACTCCTTGACGGACCAGCAGCCCGGCCCCTCTCCATCGGCCGCCCCTTCGTCAGGCACCAACAGCCCCAGGGTAAGAATCGAGACCTCACGCACACACACGACCAACACACCTCTCTTCTCCCATGTGTCTGTGTGTCAGGGTCGCAAGGGCAGCAGCGGTGAGGTCGATGAGCCATCCCCGCAGGCCGACGAGGACTTCCAGGAGCCCAAGGCAGCCGGCAAGAAGTCCCCCACAGGCACCGGTGCGGGTAGTGGCGAGATGGTCGACTCTGTGTCCAAGGGCACCACGCCCGTGGGCGCCAACACCAATCGCGAGGCCTCCAGCCGCCTCAAGTCGATCCTCAGTGTGGGCAAGGAGGAGCAGCCAGCTTCAGTGGGCGAGAAGGAGGGGAAGCCCGTGCGAGAGGCAGCGCCGTGTTCGTGAGGAGGAGGAGAAGCGGGAGCTGCCGCGGCTGCAGGGACCCAACTCGTATGCGTCAACTGTGGTGAGGGAGGGAGGGAGGGAGGGAGACACACACACAGACGTGTGTCTGAGAGAGTCATGTGTGTGCGTGTGCAGGGCGGGAATGTCTATGGCATGGATCGTGAGCAGGGATTCAGTGCAGTTGGGGGAGTGGGTGAAGAGAAAGAGCCGCTAGATAGAACACACGCTTGTCGCCTTCCTGCACTCCTTTGCTCAGGCCGTGACTGCGACAGCGACCAAGATGGCAACAAGCTGGCGGTGGGTGAGAGCTCATGGGTCGCGTCCGTGAAGAAGACCAAGGATGAGCAGTAAGTTTGCATGACACACAGTATACAACACAGCACACTGTAACACGACGTCGTTCTGTCTGTCTGTCCGTCTGTCTGTCTGCCTGTGCAGGGACAAGTCTGAGAAGGTGTTGCGTGCGTTGAAGGAAATTTTGAACGACCTGACCATCGAAAACTTCGACCAGCTCTATCAACGGGTGGCTGACGTCATGCAGCGCTACCACCTGAGCAACACGCTCATTTCGCCGGACACCCTCACCTACGTCAGCTCATTGGTCAGGGATACGCAAGACCCACGCACACGTATCAATGCTCACACGTTCAGACAGATGGCCGGTCTGTCTGTATGTGTGCAGACCATCAGCGACCTGGAGGAGTTCATCAACAGCAACGTCGCCACCCCGGTAGCCGCGTGGAAATCGGAGATCGCCAGAGCACCCCACGACGCACTGGAGCAAACTCACCAGCAGGACAACAATGGTACGCACCGGATTCCACGCGTCACACCGACACACCACCAGCACGGCGCACACACACATCCTGCCGTCTCCCTCTTCTGCAGATATACCCTCCCCTCTGCTGTTATTCCGCACCGACCTTGGACTATGTCTCTCTTGAAGGAGGTGGGACGCACTTGTCACCCTCTCACCAAGCTGACAAGTATATGAGGCATGTGAGCGTGTGCTGTGTGGTGTGTTGTATGTGTGTGTAGGGTCAGCTGTGACGATTGGCTGATATCGGAGAGGATCGTGGTCGAGCACTTGCCCGCTCGACATGTCTGATTGCAGTTGTTTGATTGCAGTGGGGGAGGGGAGGGGAGCACCGGGGGGCCGGGTATATAATTACATAAGCCATACACAGTTGTGCGTACGCCGCCGCTACCGACGCTATCGACTCGACAGACCAGCACACACACACAACTTTGGGCAGGCAAGGCAAGATGATGGATGGGACGCCGTGCGGTGGGTGTGGGTGGATGGGGCGCGGGAAGTGCTGATGGACGACATCTGAGTGAGCCCGTGGACAAGGAGTGACTGAGGGAGGGGAGAGATCGCTGCCTGCATTTTATATACCAAGGAAGGTGTTTTGATGACCCCGCATTTGCCTTGTTGATGCCATGACTACGATTGCTGCCTGCATTTTATATTTCCTGTGTGTGGATCTTTGGCAATGCTGTCATTCTTGACCTCAACATGAATCAAACTTGTCAGGCCGAAACATTAGTGAGTTATACGCATCCAACCAAAGCAAAGAGAGAAAAACACAGCCAGACACCCAGATCTCAGCAAATAGCACAAGCAAATGGCACAAGTCTACAGCAAATAGACAGTCCTAGCTCAGTCGTGTTTACAGCACACGGACACACGCACACACAAAGGCACACGCACACACGCACACTTCCCGGTGCTGTCCTTCCCCCCCTCTCCTCCCCTCCCCGCCCCAATGCAATCAGACACGCACACACAGCCACACCGACAGGCAGGCAGGCACCCATGCAATTAGTCAGTCGCTCAGTCACTTGCTCCCTCCCCCCCGCCCCCCCCGCCCTGCGTGTGGGTGTGGCTAACCTAACTAAGGGTGTGTGTGTGTGTGATAGATTAGATGGGTGTGGGTGCGACGTCGACGACTGTCCTGGTGGTGTCGACGTAGGTGAGCAGGAGGGCCCCCGCGTGGTTCATGACCTCGCACTCGCGCTTCTCGGAAATCAGGCGATCGTCACAGCTGATCCTGCACACACACAGACGCACACACACACACACGCACACATCACCACACAGCCCGCATCGCATTCACACGCATACGCCCAATCTCTCTCACCATTTGCCGTGGCCGCGTCTGACGAATGCGCTGAAGTGCCCCACGTGCGCCTCCAGGCCGTGGTGGACCACCACCGACACGAGCTGGTAGCTGGGGGGCGGGGGCGGGGGCGTTGTCAGGCTCGGGAAGGTGGGGGTGCGCCGCACGCCAACGGGAGTACTCCTCCCACTTGTGACGCTCCTCGTACCGCCACCTACACACACAAACACACACACACACACACACACAGCCGCGGCATGGTGGGGATGGTTGTGCTGCCTGGTCCGGCAGGCAGTGGCAGTGGCAGTGAGTCGGACCAGTCGTAGTTGAATTGGAGTTCTCGGCCGTACTCGATGACCTTGTCCGTCTTGTGAGCCTGGTGCGCACCAAAGCCCGTCCGCTTCAAACTCAACACCAGGATCTGACAGACAGAGACCCACCCCACACAAGCAGAGAGAGAAACGACACACATCACCTACTCTGCGTGTGTGGTTTGTTGGCTGTCTGTCTGCGTTTGTTGCCTACGGGGGGCCAGGTCTCGACGAAGAGTTTGTGATATATGTGCCGGTGCTTGGGGTCGGCGCGCAGGACCTTCTGAGGGTCGCGGTCCACCAGGGTGCAGCAGATGGCGTCCCTGCAGATGACGTGAGGCACAGGTGGTCAGTGGGATGTGTCTGTGTGTGTGTGTGTGTGTATGTGTATGTGCGGCCTGCGTACTCGATGGTTGTGATTTCGGAGTCGGTGATGGCGAGGTCGAGTGTCCAGAAGGCCTCGGGCTTCCACGTCAACTTGTTCTTGTCTGATGGATGGAGGGGTCAAGGCACACACACAGACAAGTGGAGTGGCCGAACGAACGATTTTTGTGTCGGCAAATCGGTCGCTCGTTCAGTCACTCACCGTTGTCAGACTGCACGACCCGCGACACCACGCCGGCAAACAGCTTGCTGATGGGGGATGAATTGATGTCCTCCAGAGTGTCGTTGCTGCACACACACACACACACACAGACATGCACACCCACACCCCTGCCGATGCGCAGCTTGTCAAGGTGGTGTGCCTACGCGTGGTTGGCGGCGGCTGGTGGATCGGCGGACGATGACGACGGTTTGGACGGCTGTGGGGGCGGTGGCGAATGGGACGAGAGCCGCCCGAGGCTCTGACAATACAATACAATACAATACAATACACCACCACCAAGCGAGATATGCACTCGCTCACTCACTCACTCACCCCTCGGCGGTAGATGCTCTCTGTGTAGGTTGTTGAATAGGTCGAGAAGAAACTCCTGCGGGTCGGATTGCACACCACCAAAGGCATGACCGGCTGCACACACCACACCACACCACACCACACCACATCATCTGACCTCCTGACACAGATGTGTTGTGTGCAGTCATCTGACTGATCTGTGTGTGCAGGTGCAGGTGAGCGACCTCTGCCATGTTGGTCGGATTGGCTCTGCTCGAACTCCTTGATGACAGTCTCGAAGAAGGCCGACGCGTAGAGGGCCGGGAGGGCCGTGTCCTCGCCAGCCATCGACCCCTTCTCGGGACCCTTGTCGCTCAAACTCTCCGTGTAAGCCACCTGCACATCTGTCACACACACACACACACACACAGATGGACGTGCTGACGACTGTGCGCGTCTGTCTATGTGTGTATGTATCGTCGCCTACAGCTGTCCCTGTCCTTATGGTGCTCGAGGATAAGCTGGCAGATGTCTCGCAGCCTCTGGGTGCGCTCGCGCTCCTTGTCGAGACACGCCTTGTTCTTGGCGCGGTAGAACTCCGCGAAGATCGCCCGAAACGCCGCGTGGAAGGGGTAGTGCAGACGGTGCTCTTTCGCCCACTCACGGTCGTACTGCGCCGCGTTTGCCAATCCCTGACCAACCACACGCACACACAGGGCCCGACACACAGAACCGGTTTGTGTGCGTCTCTCTCTCCGCTGTGTGTGAGGGTCGAGACCTACCCTACCTCTGCCGATAGCGAGAGGTACTCAGCGAACCACTGCAGCGGCAGCATTCCCTGGATCAACTGACGGACACACCACACCACACCATACCACGTGTGTGTGTGTTGGCTGAATGTTTGTTTACCGCATTCACGTAGCAGTAGTTCTTGATGTTTTCGAGGCCGCGGGGCTGCCACAGGGGCTCGCCATCGGGCAGCGCCTCGTCTTCATCCTACACGCACACACACACACACACACAACACACCACCGACGGGCGGATGGATTGTGAGTGCACCGCTGCATGCCGGCCGGCCGTTTGGCTCACTCACTGACCCGTTTGAGCAGGAGCATCTCCTTCTCGTACATGAGGATGTGGGACGATACCGTGGCCAGGTGCGGCTGCCACTGAGGGTTAGAATCAACCGCCGCATTCGAGCGGCGCCGAACATATTGCTCAAACTGACCACACACACACACACACAGAGCCAATACAGATGACACTCGGCGCCACAGACACACACTTGCCCTGCCATAACGCACCTTGTACACGCGCAGCCTCTCGTGTGGCTTGAGGTCCCGCAGTTCGATGGTGCGGGCATCCTTGAGGGCGAAGTAGAGGCCTCGTGTGATGACGCTGAACTGCCCGCCCCTCACCACCAAGTTGCTCTTGACGCTGTCCGTCATCCACTTGGTCGACAGCAGCCGCGGCTTCTCGGCAAACTCCATGTCGTCACAGGCCTCCCCGCCCATCCCCGCTGCTGCTGCTGCGGCGGCGGCGCCAGGGGTCACCACGGCCGAGGGCGTGCCGAGGGGCGGACCCCACTCGGACCCAGATGACGTCGACTTGGGCGGCGGGGGCGAGGGACCGGGCAGAGACGCAGGCTTGATGATCGGCATTTGCGGCTGCACCGCGCTGCCTTCGCCGTACCCCTCCATGGTGCCGCCGCCAGAGGGGCTGTTGGTGGCTGACGGAGGGGTCGCCGATGGAGAGGGGGAGGGCTGCCGGTCCGGGAAGGGGTCAGTGGAAGAGCCGGAGGGTATGTCTGCAGAAGAGGGAGGGAGACGGCAGGATGTGTGTGTGTGTGTGCCGTGCTGGTGGTGTGTTGGTGTGACGCGTGGAGTGCAATGCGTACCATTGTGCTGCTGCAGGTGGGATTGCTTTAGTGCGTCCTTGAGGGCTCTGGCGATCTCCTTGCACTTCTCCAGGGGCGGGCTGGTGGGGAGGTTGCTGTTGATGAAGTCAACCAGGTCCGTGATGCTCTGCACACATACAGACAGACAGACAGACAGACCGGTCATCTGGCTGTGTGTACGTGTGAGCATTGATCTGATCCGTGTGCGTGGGTCTCGCGGCTCGCTGACCATTGAGCTGACATAGTCGAGGATCTCCAGGGTTATCAACGTGTCGCTCAGTTGGTAGCGATGGAGTACGTCAGACACCGCTGAACAGACACCCACACAACGTACGATGACCGATCACTGAGAGGCTCCGTCCACTCCTTCCTCTCCTCACGTGTCGGAATCCCGCCGCCACCACCAGCAGCGGCTGCCGCTGCCCCGGGCTCCTCGCCGCGACCCCTGTTTGTCTTCTGTCGCCCCTCGGCCGTGTCCACCTCCCCACCGTCAGACGACGTCTGAGTGCCACCGAGGGTCGGGAACTCTGCCGCAACTTTGGGACCGCTGCCACTGCTGTGACGCTTGCCGCGGCCAATCCCGCCCCGCTGCCGGGCGAGACGCGTGTGTTGTTGAGGTTGATGGAGTTCTGCTGCGGTGTGGCCTTGGGAGTCAGGAAGAGGGACGGGAATGTGCCGCTCTCCACGGTCGATGCGGGTGCGGCCGCCCCAGTTGCTGCTGGGAGGGGGTCGTCCCACACGCTCGTGGATGCCCCGTTGTGTTGGTGGTGGCGGGAGTGGGGGGCTCTGCTGGTTGTGGGTGGCTTGCTGTTCCAGAAGCCCTCGCCACGTGTCGTGTTGATCTTGTCGTGAGTGTCGACTGAGGGTCCCTTGCCTTGATGAAGGGCTGGCGTTGCCACCCCTGGTAGCGACGGTGCCGCCCAAGAAGTCTTTGATGTCCACTTTGACGCCGGTGAACTTCTGCTTGCCCTTCTTCTTCTGCTGCTGCTTGCTGGGTGTGGACTTGTCCTCCGTCGGGAAATCCTGAACGATCGGAGACTGAGAGGCGTCCTGAGTGAGACACACACAGAGAGGGGGGGGTTGAGCATTCAGAGTGGGAAGGGGGAGAGGGATGAGGGCTCAGCCTGTGTCTCGACCTGCCCAGCCTCCTTCTGCTCCTCAGCAGGCGGGACCTCTTCACTGAAGCCGTCTTCCCTCTGGAAGGACCCGAACTTGCCCGCCACCGGGGGGCGCGCTCCTGAGCCGCCTGGCCGGAAGATGTCCGTCCGGGAAGCGCCCGCACGGTTGATCTCGCTGCTCTCGGTGGGCGCAGCCGAGTGGTCTGCACATGGACCGATGGGAGGCACTGGCTGTGATTGTGATAGTGGTTGTGTTGTGTGTACCCTTGAGCAGTTACGGGGGGATCTTGTGGTTGTCTGGGAGCCTCTGGCAGGACTCCTGAGGCAGGCAGATCAGGACACACATACACAGATGTGATGTGCACTGCACACTGGTATGCAGTCAGTGTCTGGGTGAGATGTCGATCTGTCTGGATCTGTCTGTGTGTCTGTCTTGTCGAAGTCGGCCGGCACGGAGCGGGGATACATACCTTGTCTTTGAACGACTTTAGGAATTCGATGGGGTAGAACCGGGGGCTCCCACTCACCAAACTCGTGTGACGCAACGACGGGGATGCCTCGGGCGGCGCACTGCAAAACAGCAAACACAACACAATACAATACAACCACAACACACACACCAACATGTATGTGCATTCCTCACATGGCGGGCGCCCTCATGGCGTCGTAGTCCGGGCTCATGACATCGCTGGTGCTGGGCCCGCCGACAGAGTTGCGCCTGTACACCCCCGCCGGCTGATCCGAGTCCGTCTGCTCCTCCTCAGCCTCGCCCGCATCCTTACAGTCTCCCTCCACACCCTCGTCCATCGCGGCCCCGGGAGCACCTGGCGTCGCGACGGGCACTGGGGGCTGGGGCGGAGGGGATGGGGAGAGGGAGAGGGAGGGGGATGTGGTGTGGACTGCCTCGCCTCCGTCTTGTGGGCGGCCGCTGGGCTGACGGCGCTGGCCTTGACCTCGTCTGAAGCGGGGATGGGCTCCTCGTCTCGGGTCGACTTTTCCTTGGGTGGCTCCTCAACCACGGCTGGCGCCTCCTTGGCCGCCCCCTGCGACTCTGCTGCGATGGTGTCCTGCTTGGCAGGCACCAAGGGCTCCTCCCTGACCGGCTCCATCACCGCCTCCTCCCTGTCCACCTTTGTCTTGCCCGCCGGTGTCTCGCGCCCGGCTGGCGCGGCCTCAGCCTGACCCATAGGCACAGGGGCCTCCTGACCAGCGACAGCTTCCTCCTCCTTGGTCTTCGTCGGTGAGTGGCGGTGCTCGGGCGACGTATCCTCGACATGTGGGCCGACTGGTGTGCCGTCAGGCTCTTGGGCTTGAGGGGCCTGCACGCAACCGTGTGTGACAGAGCAAGGACACAGTGACATCGAGATGGGTGAGCGCTATTTTTCTAGGGGTGGATGCACCAACCTCTTCCTCGACGGGCATCTCCTTCTTTGCCTCCCCTCCCGCACCGACTGTTCCCTCCCCCAGCGGCACCTCAGCTTTCTTGTTCTCCTTCTTGGCCTTCTGGACAACCTCGGCAGCTTCAACGACAGGCTCTGTCATGCAAGCGAACTCTCCAACGGCCGCAGGGGGGGCGCTGGAAGCACACACAAAAGCAGGCATGACAGCACAACGTGTGCAGGTGTATGTGTGTTCGATGCAACACCTGTCTGGTTGTCCCTCCTGTTGGTCTTCGAAGTCGGCTTGGTAGCCCTCGTCCGACTTGACCTCCTCTGACACGGGCTTTCCCTCCTTCTCCACTGGTGCTGGCCGCCCCTCAGCCTCCTTGGCTGCTGGCTGCTCCTCCCTGACGACGTGGGGCTCCTTCACCTCAGCTGCACACGTCAGGCATTTGAGGAGGGACCAAGCCATATATGACAAAATTGCAAGACATTCACTTACCCTCGTCTTTCTCTGTCTTCTTTTCCTCCTCGGTCGGCTCCTCTGTGTGCTCGAAAACTGTCGGTGGCTTCTCGGCGGTCTTCTTGTTATCTTCCTCCTCGGGGAAGGTCTCCCCGTCGAACCTCCCCGACTTGGTCTCCGATGACACCATCACGACGGACTCGCGAGGGGGTCGGGCAGGTGGGGCAGGCTCCTCCACCTTCTCGTGACGCTGAGGGTCCTCAGACGGCTCTGGTGGCCGCTCCCCTTCCTCCTCCCGTCTCTCCTTGGACGCGTTGGGCTGGGCGGTCGATTCGGGCACATGGGGAGGGTGTGAGTGGTCGTCTTGCTGTCTACCACAGCAACACCACCCCTCACACCTCCCCACTCTTACTCTCGGGAAGCAATTTCCCATCTTCTCCTATAGCGCCCCCAAAAGCGAGCTGTCGATCAAAAAACTTGGAGCCAATAAGATTGCCCTTCGGTAAGAACGCCGAACTGTGGCTGTGACACGCAGCGAAGGACACTTTAGCAAGAGCCGAAGCTCCAAGGCTAGAGATCGACTCCCTCGGGGAGACCACACGCCGCGCACCAGCAGCAGCACCAGATCTGGCACGCCCAGGACGCCTCATGAGCCACGAGAGCCGGCGCACATCCCATCTCGCACAGGGCAGCATCCTCGTGTCGGCAGCACAGGTGCGACTCAACCGCCGACAGAAATGGCGTAGATCAGGGAAGGGGT